CCCATCTTATTTACCTCCTTTGTCCTTTTCTGAGTCTCGCACTCAAGTTACAATTTGATTTCTGATTCCGTTTGCTGCTCTCGCTCCCCAGTCGTGTGTCTGCAGTTGGTTGTTTTCATTTCGTTTCGTGCCCTGGCCAAAGTTTTATTTATATTCAAGTAGTTGGTCGGGGGCAGCAGTATGTGGAGGCGAGGGCAGCTTATAAATAATTCAGGCGGTGGCCTTATGCATGCCCCAGGCACAGGAACTAGCTGCAGGCAAAAACCAGGCAACCTGAAGTCCCAATTGAACTTTGACAAGATTCATGTGAACCAACAAAGGGGGTTACAAACCAATAAGCTATGATCCTAAATTGAAAACAAATCATTGTGATGTGTATAGCTGCATCTTTATTTATTGCAAAAAAAAGGTATCTAAAAACCAAAATACAAAAAATATATATGTCATAATTTTATAATCCTTAATTCGAATAGTATAAACCATATTTATTAAGATACATTTGCTTTTTGAATACATTTTTGATGTAATATAATATATTTTTCCAAATTGCATTCAGAGATTATAAATATAGATTTACATTTGCAATATAAAACGAAAGAAATAAACATGAAGAGGAAGCCGGTAGTCTCGGCGATGTCTCGCTGAAATTGGATAAACGTTTATTTCTGTTCATAAAGAGCTCCTCAGTAGGTGGTTAATGGCTTAATTATCTCGTTAAGATTGTTAAAAAAAGATATAAAGATATAAAATTAAGGCAAAAATACCCACCGATTTAAACTTAATTTCAATATCCTTTTTTGGAAATTGACGTTTTTTCTAGCACTTTTTAATCTGAATGAAATATTCCAATATACTTAAATGTTTTAAAATTTATTTTAAAACTTTTTAAACAATATTTTCAGCTATTTGTTTAACAAATTCGTATGACATTTAAATCGTTCTCCCTCTGATTTATCCATTAGAGATATAAAAGAAATGGTTTATAGTTCCCAAACCCATAAACATGTCAATAAAATCCATATGAATAATTTAAACTTCCTTTTTAAAAGTTTTCTTTAAATACATTGCTATTAATGCCATGGCATAATGTTTTCAATTCAGAACCCCTCTTTAAAGACCCAAACAATTTAATTAAATTGTGATGAGTGTGTGCGTGTCGTCTTGCTTACAATTGAGTTTGCTTTCGTTTGTCGGGGTTTGTTTTGAATTTCTCCAACATTTAATTTCGTTTGCGCACCAAAAAACAATTGAAGTTTTTTTGTATTATTCAATTATACTTGAGGCGAGGCAGTAACGCATTTTGTTAGGGGGAGAGGAAAAACTTGTGTATGCATTTCCAATTTGTATTCGGCTGCAGTTCGCAGCCCAAAATCGAAGCCGAGTCCCAAATCCGAATTCGAATCCGAATATCTCCAACCGACGTCATCGTCTCCTCGCCTTGTTTATCAATTAGGCACACATTCGATTCGGTTCGATTTTTGTATTAGTATGAATGCCTTTTCCTGCACCGAAGTGGAAATCCCCGCCCCTTTTTGGCCACGCCCTTGCCTGCACTAATCTGTTTATGGCAGCGAGATTCTATTAATATTTTACTTTTGGGGGCCCCCGTTAAAGTGTTGGAAGTTTTACGATGGCATCCTAAGAAACTTTGCCCAAATTGAGTTTGGCGTATCTTGTCTGGGGCCCGACAGTCATAATTTAAAATATTTAAATGCCCCGGGATATGATTGAAGAATGCAATGGCCCAACGACCACTTGAGAGGGTTTCACATTCTTCATCATTCAAATGGAAAGCAATATAAATGGTTTTCATTCCCCATTCTATTAAATTTTCAATGTGAAGTTCACTAAACTAAATGCCTTATGCATTGGATTCATTCAATTTTTTAATGGCAAGCCAGCAGTTATTAATAAATTTATTGTGGCCTCCGTTGATTGTTATATGGAAATGAAGGAGAGTGGGGCTGGCAGGACGGAGACACATTTATTTATTAACCCCCCATCTCTGCGAAGTTTACCCCTTGGGGGTTGACAAGTGACAAATGCAGAGAAGAAATAAAATTAAATGTGTGAGCCGAAATCAACCCCCCGCAGATAGATTCAAACAAACTAGTCCAAACAAACACAGTTTATAACACACAGCCATGAACATCCTTACCAACCAACCTCATTGCCATCAAATCCATCATCATCGGCATATGTGGAGTATCAAAGAACGCGACGACATCAGTTCGTCAAAAAATAAAATAACGCGGCATCGCGCTGAAATTTGTTCCTTGATTTAGCCTGCGGAATCCATCATCACTCGATGCATGCATGACCCGTGCGATGATGGACGGACGGTCTGATTTACCCTCGGTTAGGAACCCTTATGCCATATGTTTGCCTCGAGCTCAAGACTGCGACTTGACTTGCTTCCAGCGTGCGATAATTTCCCATTTGTTGAGAATTACACTGTTGAAAAAAAAAAACATTTAAAATTAAAAAAAACTGTATTTTTGGGAATCATGTTCTGCGTTACTGGATTCTGTTACTTGTTAGCAAAGCTCAAGAAAATTAGTAAGAAAAAATACATTTGTCATAATAAACTTATTATAAATAAATAAAATTCTTACTTTTGAAAATAATGTTTAAATTGGTAGAGTAAATTTAATTTACAATGAGTTTAATATGAAATCAAAAATTTAATTTGAAAGGTTCAGTATAAAGCACAATTGTATATAATTTTAAGGGTGTATCTTCACATCATTCTCAGTGTATTATGGGAAATTATTTCTCTGCCAAGAGCTATCTATGCGTGGGTGCTTCTGCTGTGTTCTAGTTTTAATGAGTTTCCACTCGACGGAGTGTTTCGGGACAATAGTCCTTGAGGCGCCTCCTGGCGCCAGTTGCTGAACAATCTGGTGTCATGCCGATGTGTTGTCCTGAATTCTCGAACTGCCAGCAGACATGCATTCTTGTGCATCCTTATCGCAGTTTTTTCAGCTGCTTATCAGCTGAGAAACTCGACACCCACTTGTAGATACTTTTACAGCTTGAAGAAAGTTACGTCGAAAAAAAGTAGTTAACCCATATGAGCCGGAAAAACTTATTGATGCGTAGAAGGGGGGCCCGGCAGTGCGACTCATTAGTCATTTGAGCCAATCAATCACTCAAGTTTACTTTGGGTTAATTGTTTTCCGTAAACAATAAGAAATGCCGGCAAACCCCCTTTTTCCATATGGTGATATATACGGCAGATGCTTAAGGAAGGGATACATTTGGGTCAGAGGGAATTTTCATTAGTCTGCCAGTCATTAGCTCTGTTTTACGATGTCTCACCCATTAAGTAGTTTCAGCCCCAATCCTTGTGGCGGGCACACCCTTTTAGAAATACAATTCTACACATTCCGCTTTTAATGGAATTTCGATTTGCATGGAAACATCTAAATAAACAATCCGAAAGTCATTTTAATTTATATGTGCAAAAATAAATTTGTTTACACATTTTTTGCTTTTAATGAACGAAATATTTATACTGATTCTTAAATAGATCAGTCAAATGACTGTTTTATATTCTAACACTCGTGAATCCATCAATCACCTATATAAAGAAAGGTGACCCTTAATGTCGAGAAGTTTTTGGCTTTTACCAATTTTTCCCCATTTGGCTCACTCCATAAAAGTCCCCTTAATGTGTACGTTATTTATAGTCTTTATTTGTTAGTGACCTAATAAATGGGTTAACGCTAACATATTTCTCTCATTTCATTTTCAAAAAATACTTTTTCACAACATACTTTTCTTGATGATACTTACAATTATTATAAATGTTAAAGAATATAAATTCATTAATTCAGCTTAACGTTAGTGCTGCCTTATTTTCTTGAGATTTTTTGCAAGCCAAGTGAAAAAGGAACATGTAAAAAATCATATTTTTATATATAACACACTATGAACAACTTGGCTCTTCATGATTTTGCGTTAAACGTCGGGTGTGTTAAAAATAAATACAACAGAATCTCGTTTTTCTCTGTTGGTACTTTCAGCACTTTGAGACGCGTTGCGTCGTGTAAAACAAAAAGCCCTGACGCGTGTGACATTTGGCGCTGCAGACTGACTGTTGAGCATGAAAAAGGGAGCTGAAAAATTGAAGAGTTGTTTTGGGGACGAAAGAACAGGGGTAACTTGGTCTTCTTGGTTTATTGTTTCCTTGTGTTGGCCCCAGGACTTGAGTGATTTCGCTTCTGGGGTCTGCGTGCGTGTGCACTTTTTCACTTGTACAAACATACAACATTGTGGTTAAGATTTTACCACCGTGAATTTATTTTTTATTCGATATAACAACTTTTCCAAATTTGAATATTTTTACCAAAATTGAAAATTTTAAAGAAAGTACTTTAAAGTACAAACCATTTGGCATTATTTTTGGAAATTAAGATCATCAGTAAGTTCATTCGACCGGATTAGTTTAATTTGTTTAGAGTCTTAGAAGTTATATTTTTTAAAAGAAAGTCTTGCTTAGTGCTATTCTCCCGACCGCGGCTGTATTTCGCCCTGCATCCAAGAGCTAAGCGCATCTGTATCTGTGAGATACATGCCAGGGTTGTCTGACATCTGCGCTGTCTGGCAGTTCGCATTAATAAGATGTGTTCTGTGCTTGTCCAAAACTCTGTCTCGTATCTATATAATATTATTTATGAACTTGCTAATTTTAGCTCTGCCCCTGGCCTGAAAAGGCCCAAAAGCACGATGGGTAATTCTCTGCATCTTATCAGAGTATCTCAACATGCCCGGCAACATGTTAAATGATTATCAGAGCAAGGCATTCGCTTCGCCTTAATTTCGGGCTCAAGTTGTCAGCGTTTGAGATGGCAGCGTTGACTTTAAGCCTATTAGATACAGCACACTTTGCCGCAGAAATGCTGTGTTCACCTTGAAGGGGGAAGGGGGGGTTTCTAGGTTGTAATTAACAGCATTTACATCACCACAATGAATGTTTCACTCTTCCTCTGTTGCAGCGCACACCGCCGATTATTTACCCGTCCTCGACGAGTTCTCAACTCACACTGTGATACGACCGCAGGTGCAACATGGACGCACCAAGCGCAGCCTGCTAACCACTCTGGATGCCACCGTAAGTAGCAAAGGACAGGGGTAAATCTTGGGGTAATCATGCTAAATGATGAACTACATGTGACATTATGACACTCCAGAACTTTAAATACCAAGTTTTCATACTCATTCACTTTAATGTTATAATATGGGCATATTAATTGAAAAGTTTTTAAGCTCAGGATGGCCTGTAATAATGTTTTGCTTAAGACATATAGAAAAGGAATTCTGAATACTTTAAATTATAAGGAATTTTATAACCCTTACACCATTATTGGTGAGCAATTATTTGACAGTTTTTTGCAGTTTTATTTATAAATATAAGTAATGAATAAATAATATAATTATATTAATATTTTATTTCTAAAAGTTTTGTAAATTGTAACTTCTCTAAACTCTGTAAAATCAACCGTACATTAGATACTTGTTAAACTTTTACGATTGCTTGTTGCAAAACATTTATGTTATGTTGTTAGCTGAGCACCAAACTTTTTGCCATTTAAAACTCATCAGATTTTTGAACAATTTACCATTCCCCCACGCGGCGGTAAGGTAATAAAAATTAACCCGAAAATAAGGTCTCCCAGTAACGAAATATGTTGCATGGAATTTATTTCATGCCTGGGGGAGAGAGTACGTGGAGTTTACTGGGTGTGCTGGCCAAATGCCAAACCCGTTTTAATTAGTTTCAACAAGCAGCCACCGCACACACGTGGATGGTTTAAGGGAAGAGGGTTGGAATTTCAGGTAAAAGCCGCGGCGGGCAGGACATTACACATTCACACCTCGTCACTTTGTCACGCCCACAATTTGCATGCGAAAATGAAATAAATGGGGATGACCGCGCCAGTCCGAAATGGCTTAATCTTGTTAACGTTATCTCCCTGCTCTCCTGCCTTCCAGGACGGCCTTCACACGCCGCACATTAGCCTGAGCTACACCCACGAGGGGAAGCGGGTCACCATCGACCTGCAGCGCAACGATGGACTGCTGCCGGACTCCCACTTCCTGCGATATCAGAACTCCTCCGCTGGAGGAGCCACTGCTGGCCATGTGGCTCGCAACTTTACCAAGACTGAGGTTGATTTATGCCACTATCAGGTATGTTCAAGAAATTTTAAGAACACATCCCACTGAAAGTTTTTAAAGAAATCCCTTTCCTTACACAAATAAATATATGGAAATTAAACTCTGATAAAATTCATTCTTTGTAATTTATTCTTTTAAGATAAAAACTTAATACAAGTATATTAAAACATCTTAACAAAACTGTTAAAGCTGGTTGTATTTTGGTATTGCCTTTTAACGCCATTTTTTTGACTTTAATTGAATCTTTCATGCCTTATTCGAATGTTTTCATTTTGAACTGAAAGCTACAATTCTAAAATGCATTTTATTTTATTTACCCATCATAGGGTCACATTCGTGGTCAACCGGATTCTGTGGTGGCCCTTTCCACCTGCGATGGTGCTCTGGATGGCATCGTTTTCGATGGGAGGCAAACGTACTTCATCCATCCACATGTTCATGGCAGGGGACGATTGCAGGATGACCACTATCTGTTCAGGTAAGTTAGACAATTTATCCCAGTAAATTAGGTTAGCAAAACTTGATAAGGAGAAAGAAAGAATAGCAAAAATATTAATTGCTTTAAGGGACTTTGCTTTGCGTGCTCAACAAATAACTATTCTAAATATATTTTAAAATTAAAAAAAATTAAATTTAAAAAGTGTTTAATAATAAAATCAAAATTTATGTAATAAAAACGTATTTATTAGTTTGAATATAGGCCACTCGATGACTTCGGGTAGTGATAACCACGCAATCGATGTTAAAGGTGTCTATTCCTCGATTTACGATACCGTTTGAAGTACGATTCCCCTTTTTAGACGGCGCTTATCTAATCGAGAGTTTTTGGCCTTTTTCGACCCGAGCAAAATATTGTTTACTGACTTGTCATAAATGTTAGGGCAGTTCAGAGACCGAAAGGAAGGGGTTTGTTGACCAAATGTTTACCTATTTGTGGTTCAAAAATATTTGCCTTTTCGGGAATATTTGCCCGAATGCCCTAACTAGAACGAAACCCGCAACCATAACCATAACCTACTCATTCATTATGTTTGTGCGCCACCGTCACTTCCGTTATTAATTTCTTTTGTTGGCCACGGAAATATCAAATTACCTTCGATTTGTTCTTCACAGGCAGGCAGACATACATCCAACGAACGCCACCTGTGGCTACGACAGTCACAGGGACGACCACAGTCACGACGGCAGTCACGAAAAGGCTGGAGAGGATAATGGACTGGGAAATGAGATTCCTTCACTGCCACTTCGCCTGGATGGCGGAGAATTCCAGAGAACCCTGCTCCGGAAGAGGCGTCAAGCGGACGACAGCAGTCAACTGATCCGGGGTCCGTACAATGGCAACAAATATTCCAGCTACGTAGAGCTGGTAATCGTGGTGGACAACAAGGTCTACAAGAACTTCCAGGAGAATGCCAAGAAAGTTCACCAGCACTGCAAGAATCTGGCCAACATCATCAATGCGGTGAGTTAATTAACTACTGTTTTAATTTCATTTCATTTTCCATCAAGAATCTTTAACTAATCGAATTTTACAATCCCATTTTAAGCTCTATGTCCCACTAAATATATTTGTGGCTCTGGTAGGCGTTGTGATCTGGAATGAGAACAACGAGATCGAGTTCTCAAGCGACGGTGACGTGACGCTGCGCAACTTCCTGAACTACCGGAGAACCAAACTGGTGCTGGATCACCCCAACGACAATGCCCAGCTGCTGACCAAGGAGAATTTCAGTGGCGGAGTGGTGGGCAAGGCGCTGAAGGGTCCCATCTGCACGTACGAGTTTTCCGGCGGAGTGAGCATGCAGCACAGCCACAACACGGCGATGGTGGCCACCACAATGGCCCACGAGATGGGCCACAACTTTGGCATGGAGCACGATTCACCGGAGTGCCACTGTCCGGACGAGAAGTGTGTGATGGCGGCCTCGAGTACCTCGTTTATTCCGATCAACTGGAGCAGCTGCAGCATCGATCAGCTTACGATCGCCTTCTCGCGTGGAATGAACTACTGCCTGAGGAATAAGCCGGAAAGATTGTTTGATTCGCCCACCTGTGGCAATGGTTTCGTGGAGCCGGGGGAACAGTGCGATTGCGGTTTGCCGGAGCATTGTCAGAACGCCTGTTGCGATGCCCAAACTTGCATGCTGCACGTGAACGCCTCCTGTGCCACCGGAGAATGCTGTGATCTGACCACCTGCCGTCCCAAATTAGCGGGCAGTGCCTGTCGGGGAGCGGAGAATGAGTGCGATTTACCGGAGTACTGCACTGGGGAATCGGAGTACTGTCCGGCGGATGTCTACCGGCGGGACACGGAGCCCTGTGATGGCGGCCGGGCCTACTGCTTCCACGGCACCTGTCGCTCGCACTCCAATCAGTGCCGAATATTGTGGGGACCCACGGGTGATAACTCGGAGCACTGTTATGATAAGAACAAAGAGGGAAACCGGTTGGGAAATTGCGGCTTCAACCGCCCGAACAAGACCTATTTGAAATGTGAATTGGAGCATATCAACTGTGGAATGTTGCATTGCATCCATTTGAACGAACGCCTCGAATTCGGAATGGAATCGGCGGCCGAGTTGTCCCATTCCTACATCAGTCACCAGCACAAGATTGTGGCATGCCGCACGGCCTTGGTGGATCTGGGCCTGCAGACAACCGATCCCGGCCTGACGCCCAATGGAGCCAAGTGCGGCGAGGATAAGATGTGCGTGGATCAGCGATGTCTGCCAGTGGCCACGGTTCGCCTTAACGGCATGGGTACTCCGTGTCCCGAAGATTGCAATGGCAATGGTATCTGCAACAGTCGAGGACACTGTCACTGCGAAGTGGGCTTCGGAGGCGAGTCTTGCTCCACGGCAGGATCAGGTGGATCGCCGGACAGTGGACCAGCCACAGACCCGAATGGTAAGCTCGAAATACATACATACACCTCAGTTGATGTATGTTTTCATATTTTGAGCAGCTTAATTAATGTTTTATTTACCTTTTCAGGTTCCGCCGGTCTCAAGCGTTTCCTGTACATCCTGTTCTTCGTGGTGCTGCCCATGGTGTTGGTCTTCTGGATCCTATACAAGACGCGATTGCTAATCCGCAGAAAGCTGTCCGACAATATGTATGTATCGACCTCCTCCTTCAGCATCGGCTCGAAAGAGAGCAGCAGCCCCGACAGCAGCATCACCACCCAACTAGCATCCACACAGACCCCTGCACGCACTGCACCACCACCTCCTCCACCACTCCACACTAATCACCAGCCAGCTGAGGTTGCAACTAACACGGCTTCGGCCACCATTACTAACATACACGCCATCCTGCCGCGCCACAAGTCCAATCCAGATGCAGTGCATCAGGTTCATATACAGCCGCCATTCGTGCCCAAGAGCCAGAGTAGCTTCGAAATGCGGCGCAAGGTATTCACTGCGAAACCGAGTGTCCTGCCGCACTGCCCCCCATCCTCCTCCAACAACAACAACAACACTGAGTCACTTAATAACAATAACAAAAGCAACACGAACAACAGCACACTGAGACGCAAGCTGGATATCACGGCTCCAAGGCTTCATGCCACCACAAATCCACTGGCACTCACCGAGGGCGCCCAGTTCATACAGAGCGACCCCGCGAGGTGCGCCAAAAACTAGACCACAAATTAACCACAGTGAAATACGCTTGCACTGCCACCAAATACTGCATGACTTTGCGCTTGGCCGTGGCGTTTCAGTACCCTTGCAGAATTTTTAAGCAAATCACATAATTTCAAAAATAAATCAAAATTTTTTAGATAGTACAATTTTTTCACGTTTAGACTTATCTTGCACATTTTATCAATTAAAAAAGCAGTTATTAAAAGTTTTTTTGTCGTGCTTAATTCAGTAAATATATTTTACGTTTAATGGTTTTGTTATAAATAATTTGGAAATTTTCAAAAGAAAACTGATCAAAATGAATTAACCTGAATATAAATTTGCATTATACTAAGATTCAACAAATACTTATGCATACATTACGAAAAATGCATTTTGTATTAAAAATATAGGAACCCGGTTAAAATAATTTTTTCATTTCCTATATATGGTTAAAATTATTTTTCTTGAGTGCCTTAGATCAAATAAATGAAATCAGAAGTGCAATACTAATAATAAATGAAAAGCTCACGACAGGGTGAGAATTGGAATTAATAGAAAGCACAGGATATAACAAATTTTTTAGGGTATATAGTTATTCGGCAAATAAAACCTGCAGGGGTATTATGCAAATTCGGGGAACCGAAGACAAATTTTTCGTTCATTTTAACACGCCCCTCGTTTGCACGTTTAAGCTGATATTAAATTAAAGACTACTAACATAGCTATAATTATATGTTTGTTTTTAGTTTATGTTGACTTGATTTTTTGTGTGCTTTTGAATAAATGTTTTGCTCTAACTTTTGGTGTTGGTTTTATTGTCTTGCTAATTACCTTTCTTTAAGCTATATGTTTTACTATCCTATCAATGGTGTTTGGTTTATGCACGTTTTTTCAATTTGGTATGTTACACAAAAACACTTATAAAGCTTTTAACTTTCAAAGACTCTTCCTCATATTAATCACTATAATTCGATGTCCTTGCAGCTTGAAATCCTCTGGAGGAAGCAAACCCATCACCCCGCGATCCAATCAAAATGGCAGTGGTCCACCAACGGGAAATGGATTACTTAAATCCACACCTAGTAGTACTGATGATATGGATTCGGCGCTCCTTAAATCCCCAAGCGACTCCACTCCCACCGCTGGATTATTTGGGAAATTCGACGGTTTTACTCTGCGTCCGCTGAACGATGCCTCTTCGCCGGCGAGCAATTACAGTGGACCAAATGTGGCCTTTGTGCAGCCCACTGTCCAGCAGGATGTACCACAGCGGATGGCACCTCCTCCGCCAACTGCGAAGCCTGGAACGTCCCCCGTTCGTGCTCCCGCCTCTCCGAAACCAGAAGTCACTTCGGTGAGGCCAGCACCTGCCTTGCCTCCGCCCAATCCGGGTTCCACAGCGCGGCCTATTATCTCACCACCAAAGTTGGATTCCAGTACATTAACCATGGTGCCGCTCAAGGGCAGCACGGAGGATCTCTCACCCACTCGATCTGCTCCAGCTCCTCCAGTTCCACTGCACGCCGATCCCAAGCTAAATGTTAAACGAGATGGTACCATTCGCCGCTTAGCTTCGTTCCTCAAAAAGGAGGATAAAGCTCCGCTAAAGGAAAAGACCTACATCGAACGGGAGCGGCTGCGAACCCTGGAAATCTCCGCTCCCATGCCCGTGCCCGCTGCTCCTCAAACAGAGTCCTCCAATTCGGATTCGGAGACCACGCCGCGCGAAGAAGAGACCCAGAATCTAGTAAAACGCGCCCAATCAATGCGTTCCCCTACGAAAAAGACACCACTACAGAGCTTTGGATCTATGCGTTCACCTCCGGGACTGCCACGCCCGAAAAGTGGTCAGGTGAACAGCAATAACACTTCGAGACCGAAGTCGCCACCACCAAGGCCCCCACCAGTGGTGGTCAAGAAGACCAACTCCATTGGCTCATCGGGCTATCAGAGACCAGTGGCCACTGCCCAGAGATCAGTGGAGAACACCTACGACGACTGCGAGGTTGTGGAGAACGAAGTTCGGGCCTCCAACGACGACATATACTCCGTGATTGATGAGATTCCACCAGCAGCACAGACCCTCAAGCGGAGCGATTTGGTGGCCAGCAGGGCGAGCAATGGCAGCGATATGGGATTGCTAAATGAAATTGTTAATGAACTTGAGAAGATCAACGGAGATTCAATATATTCAGGAAAACCAGTAGCTGCAGCAGCAACTCCTCCTCCTGCAGATCCCCCGAAAAGTCCTCTGCGCCCTGCTCCACCCAAGCCAGCGAGCAGTGTGCTGGAGGAAAAGGCAGCTAGTGCATCTGCAAGCACATATCATCGACCGCCCATTGCTAATGCGCCCGTGGCTCGGGTTAAGCCCACGGTGGCGGACAAATCGCAGCCCCAGCCCAGCATGTCCAGCTTTAAGCCGCCGTCGGGAGTCGGTGGTCAGGTCCAGCCAGCGCCAGTTGTCCAGCTGGCCAAGCGGAGCAGCAGCGGCAGCAACAGCGGAGTAACCAACTCCACCCGTCCCAAATCCTTCATGAAGAGCACAACGAAAACACTGCCCAATGGGACGGCGGGAGCGGCGGTCACGGCGCCCTCGGCCACCATCCAGAAGCCCAAGCCGCTCTCGGCCAAGCCATCGTTTAGCGGCGGAGGGGCGGTCGGAGTCCTGGGGAAGCGGGCAATCGGCGGGGCAGCCCCCACGCCGCCCACAGTGAAGGCGGCGGCGTTGGCGGCGCCAAAGTCCAACATTGCATCGCTGACACAGCGATTCGAGCAGAGCAAGTAGATTAAGATAAACTACTATAAGGACCGTGACCAAGGGCATAGCGAGAAATATTTATCGGAAAGAAAATAAGAAAAGGGTTTACTTTCTTTTTTTAAAACTGTTAATCACCCATACCAATTTTTTTACTAATTTAATTCTAATTTATAATAACCATTGATATTTGTAATTGACTTAAAAAAAGATTAGAACAAATAATTCGATACAATTGATAAAATGATGATGTACCACAATTTGATTTAAGATATAATTTAAGATTTTAATTTTAAAAAACCAATTGTTTTCCATTGCTTACAAACCCAAAAACGATATGTGCTGGAAAATTAGGAAAAATGTGATTCTTGGCTATGCTCTTGGTGTGGCTAAATCCCCACCCTCCGTGGAATTGACTTAAGCTTTAGTTAAGATACGATCAAATTTTATTTGGCACTGACTATGACTACGACTGCGTCGCCTTTGATATTCATTCCTTTACCGATGTCCCACTTGTTAGACGTAAGGCGTTGCTTAACCCATGTGCTAAGTATGTATCTCAATGGTTAATGTTTAAGCGCTGCATGTGAAGTTTTATTTTAGCCCCTAACGGTAGCTACGTACGTGTATCTGTATCTATACTATACTCTACGGTAATCCCATGTATTTATTTATATATGTTTATACGCAATATGCTTTTGTAAATAAAAACCAAAGAAGTTAAATTGTCACAACAAATGCGCCGCCTCGAAGTAATCAATTAAAAGATGTTGTAAAGCTGGAAATATTGAAAAGTAATTAGAAAAGCGTTTCAGTAGAGAAGTTAATTTAAATTGTCTCAATGTTGCAAAGAATTATGTTACACCACCTAGGTAAGAACGATATCAAAATGTGTATAGAACCGAAGTTATGTTAAAATATATGTTTAACTGAATTAAAGATAATTGTGTTTGCGGGAGGGAAACACTTCATTCGTATTTGACCAGGATCGAGTCCAAAAACTAAAGCTTCCCTTCTTTGTGTAAGTTAAAATGGAATGATGTTTCGAAAATTTGTGGACAGATCCAGCCACCACTTGGCTAATTGCATAAATAACATTAACATTCTTATTATTATTATTATTTTGTATTTATGATCGAATCCGATTTAAAGCCAACTTTTGAATCTGGAAATCTTTATCGATTTTAAAATCATTAAAATAAACCTCATTTTCATCATGGTTATTTAAAAAAATGGCTTTACAGAAAAAGTCTCAAAAGACATCCGATTTTAAAGTGGCATACTTCTAAATGATTGTGGTCTAATTCTCTAAAAATCTCTGTTCAAATCTTGGTTTGTATTTTTGCGTCGATTTTTCGTCATTTTTATGTAGCAACCCCTTTCAAAATTTTCAGAAAATGGATTTGCAGAAAAGTGTTAAAAACTGCACTTCACTTTTGTGTTCAAATCATGGTGATAAATTTGGTTTCGAATTATAATTTTAATTTGCTGAGTAGCCATTTTGTTTTGCCGAAGCTTTCTTGATTTTAATTGAAGAAAACCAAGATTATTAAGAATTGGCTAACCAAATATGTTTATACGGAGTATTTTTAGACAGAAATATTTTATTTTTAGACAGAAATATTTGCTTAAAAGTATTATAAAGTAAGTAATTATAAGCCCCAGCCCTTTTATATATTCTTTGAATGGAAGGTAAATTTAAGTATTTTTGAGATTATAAGGCCGTTTTGTTGTGATGTTTAGGCATATTTAACAGAGTTTTTTAGATGTGTACAGAACCGAATATGAGTACTGGAAACACGAAAATGAACAAATCCGATTGACTTTCCTTAGGAATGTGATATATTTGATATATTATTATTAACGTTTGACAAATTTATTTAAGATCGCGGTAACAAACAAATTATAATTGGACCTTGCGCTTGCGCTTTTCCTTCGTGGGTCCTTGAGGAGTGGGGGTGGAGGTGGCCTGAGCCTCAGAAAAACCGGCCATGGTAGTTTCCGGTGCTGAGGGAGCTTCTTTGGCAGCCACTAGTTTTTTAACCGCCTTGACTTTAGGCCTGGACGTTTTCGGCTGTGCCAGAGTTCCAATGGATTTGCGGGGTTTTTTCGACTTTCCCACTTCGGATGATTCAGCTGCTTTCTTTACGCTGGACTTTGCTGCCTTTTTTCCATTTGTTGCGGGCTCGGGAGTTTGCAGCAAAGCCTTTACGCCGGCGGCCGCTTTTTTCTTTGGAGGAGCTGTTTTGGCTTCGCCCTCGGCTTTCTTCTTCTTTCCGACCTGTAGGTTGTACATTTAAAATAGTTATAAATTTCTATATTATTTATTTATGAAAATATCAAACCATTTTGATATTAACTATAAGCATATCTATTACCCAATAGAAACTTACTTGGTTCGTTTTCCGCTCGGCCTTTTCCTTGTTAGCCTTTTTTTCCTTCGACTTGGCCAACTTCTTTTCGGCCTTTTCCTTCACAACTTTTTCCGCCATTGCCTTTTTCGCCTTCTCCTTCTGCTTTTTAGCCTTCATTTTTTCCTCAGCCTTGGAGGAGTTTTTGTACTTTTCTGTGAGTTTGAAGGATCGCTTTACCATTACCACATCGCCCGAGGTCACGGCCAATTTAAGGGCCCGATACATAATGCGTGCGGCTTTCTTAGCATCCTTCCACTCGTGACCATTGTTCTTCAAATATGTCATGATAGCCCGAACCGATGATCCCGAACGACTGGATAGCTTTCCGATGGCCATGAGTGCTAGGGATGTGGGCGACTCCTTGACTTTTGGAGCATTCGATTTTGGCTTCTTATCTTTGCCGGAATCGGGAGGCGCCATTTTTGACCCATCATCGGGCGGTGGAGTAGGATAGGGATGTCGTACAGCTTCCAGATTATCGGATTCGGGCTCTTCTCCTTCCCGCTGTTCCTCCTCCTCCTCCTCCTCCATTTCCTCCTCGCCTTCATCCTCATCGCCCTCATCTTCCTCGCCATCATCCTCCTCCTCCATTTCCTGCTCTTCTTCGCCTAAATTGGAATCTTCCTGAGGATTATCAGATTGCATCTCCTCTTCGCCCTCGTCGTCTGAGCTGTCATCAACCCTTTTCAGTTTCATGGCAATTATTTTATATAACAATTAACAAAAAAAAATACAACTTAAAAATTTTTAGGACAGGGACGCCTCAACTTGATGTTACAATGATAGAAGTCGAAGTCCAAAGAATAAAAACGGTACAGAAAGTACAGATTTAAAAAGAAAGCTTTTAAACGAACGAGAATAACGACCACCATGGGAACGATCTTAGCCCATGCCAATATGTTAAGCTTAAATTCAATATTTATTTTAACATTAAAGGGTTAGCAATTATTTCAATGAAAATGATTAAATATTTTTCGATTGCATTTTTAAAATATAAAACAAAAATTAAGCCGATTTTAACCATCATTTTTTTGTAATTACTTGTCCGTGTTTTTATTTGCTATAGTGCCGAATTTTTTAAAAATATCTTGTGCATACAAATTGTTGATTGCGGTTGCTTCACAAATTTATTTAAAATACTTTTTTTAATGTGCGATAGCAATTGGACAATAAGCACAAATACTAAAATATATCAAATTAAAATATCGGTATTTTGATATCACGATAAGAATATTTATGTTTCGTAAAATATCGATATATTGATATTTTGATTTATTTTTCACATCCCTAGTGTCCACGTCTGTCAAAAGTTGCATGCTAACCGAAAGGCGAAAGTTTAAGTCAGAGGATCAAAGATAATTACCACCCACGAGTCCGCTGAGAAAACAGGATGTCAAAGGACGCCAATTCCAAGGAGGCGCTGATCAAGGCGGCCTACGCCGATGTGCACAAGTTCGGCAATAACCGCGAGTTCGACAAGGCAGTCAAGGCGGTCAATCGCAGTAAGTTTTGGGACATTCCGAAGTTATGGCACTCATTTCACAGTCCTCATGTTTTCCCATAGTCCTGGGCGTGGCCCCCGACGATCCCACGGCCTTGCACTGCAAGGTGGTGTGCCTGGTGCAGCTGTCCAAGTTCGAGGAGGCCTACAAGTTCATCGAGAAGAATCGCCTGTCCTCGTTAGCCTTCGAGAAGGCCTACTGCGAGTACCGTCTAAATAAACAGCAGCAGGCGTTGAAGACGATCGATGATGCGGGCCTGCAGCCCCTGCCTCAGAACCTCAAGGAGTTGCGCACCCAGGTCCTTTATCGCTTGGAGCGCTACGATGACTGTCTGGACTCCTACCGCGACATCATCAAGAACACCAGCGACGAGTACGAGGACGAGCGGCGAACCAATCTGAGCGCAGTGGCCGCCAACCTGGCCGTTGACCAGGCCAAGGAGGTGCCCCAGGTGCCGGAGGACACCTACGAGCAGTACTTCAATAGCGCCTGCATCCAGGCCAACCGTCAGAAGTACGCCGAGGCCGAGAGGAAGCTGCGCACCAGCGAGAAACTGTGCCGCGAATTTCTCGAGGAAGAGGGCGCCTCCGAGGAAGAGATCATCGAGGAGGTGGACGTCATCCGCGTCCAGTTGGCCTACGTTCTACAGCTGCAGGGCAAGACCAAGGAGGCGGGCATCATCTACGCGGACTGCCTTCGCCACAAGCCGAAGGACGCCGCCCTAGTGGCCGTGGCCAGTAACAACTCGGTGGTGATCAACAAAGACCAGAATGTTTTTGACTCCAAGAAGAAGATTCGCGCCGCCCTGGCCGATGCATGTGAGCCAAAGCTAACTTCACGCCAGAAGCAGGTTATTGCTCTCAACAACTGTCTGCTGGCCCTATACACCAACGCCGGCGACCAAGTGCAGCAGATCAGCCAGAAGTTGGCGCAGAGCTACCCTCAGGTGGAGTTCGAAGCGCTGCTCATCCGCTGCAGCCAGCTGGCCAAGGACCGCAAACACAAGGAGGCCATCGATCAGCTGCAGAAGTTTGCTGCCGCCAACAAATCCCATCAGTTTGTTAGCAAGTTCGCCGTCATCCAATTGCAACTGCTGCAGGTAAAATTTGTACATCTATAAAGTAATCCCAAGATGGAATCTTATCCCCCTGTCCTTTTTCCTTTAGGGCAGCCGCAAAGATGCCATCGAGACATTGCTTTCATTGGGTGAGGCCAAGTACAAGCCTGGAGTCGTTTCCGCTCTGGTTTCCCTTTACCTGGGCACGGACAATAAGGCAGCGGCCTCGGCGCTGCTAAAGTCCGCTGTGGACTGGTACAAGAAGAACAATGTGAGCAGTGGTGATTTGTCGGATATGTGGCGTCAGGCGGCTGAGTTCCATCTGCGCGGTGGGGCCTCAGAAACGGCCGCCAGCTCGCTAGAAGAGCTGCTTAAGTTGAACCCCAACGACACGAAGGTGCTGGCCCAGCTGGTCATCGCCTACGCGCAGTTCCAGCCCAAGCGGGCACTTGAGCTCAGCAAAAAACTGCCTAAGCTGGAGACGCTTACCACGGCTTCCGAAATCGACGCCCTGGAGGCGGCCAACTGGGTGATGTCCGCCAAAGCGGCCAAGAAGTCTGCCAATGCCAAGATCGAACCCTCACCGAGCACCCCCATAGAGAAGAAAAAGAACCAGAATCGGAAACGAAAGGGCAAGCTGCCGAAGAACTACAACGCCGAAGTGGGTCCTGATCCGGAGCGGTGGTTGCCCAAGTACGAGCGCACTGGATTCCGGAAGAAGCGAGGTGGTGCGCGAGGCAAGGATGTCATCAAGGGATCTCAGGGCATGACATCGGGAGCAGCCGATCAATAGTAAGCATACTTTTGCGTAAATTGATAAACGGTTTTTCTAATATAAATTTGCCTTTGCAGCGATATGTCCAACCGCGTCAATCTGAGCAAGAACTCCCCCGCCACGCCCGTTTACCAAGAGACGACCCCAGGACCAAGGCAGCAGCACCGCAAAGGTGGCCACAAAAAGAAGAAGGGCGGCCGCTTCTAGATTAACACAGACCTAAACAAATGTCAATACTTTCGAACGCCAATTATACAACCCGCTTTGAATGTTATCTTGTTGTCTCCTTTTTCCACGTATTGGGCGGGATTGATTTTACGTTATATATTTTTATATTATGCTTTAAAATTAAACTTTTTTAAATTTAATTAACAAAGCATTTATGTAACTTATAAAAAAAAAACGCAAATTATGAAGTAAGATTTAGGCCAGCAATGTTTTGTTCATTCTAATATTTTGCATTCTTATTAATTTGTAGAACAAATGAAATATTCGAATCTAAAACTTATAATGAACGTTCTATGGTCTTTGATATCCACAAAAATCAACACATCGTAATGCTTATTCATCATTATCATCATCGCCAGCCTTACTCCGCTTGCCATCCGTGGGCGCTGGGGGACCATCCTCCTTTCGCGTGTCGTACGAATGATAATGCAACGTTCCTATCCAGTCCAGCATGTTGCGCTGCTCGGCCTCCGTCTTGTAGATCTGGCTAAAGATCTCCCGCTCGATGAACTCCTGCACTTGCGCATCCTGCGCCTGCCACGTTAGCGGGTTGTGTATGCCATCCTTGCCATATCGGACGTTGTAGCGCTCGTAGTGCACCGTGTCCAGTACTAGGCCCAGTCCAGGGGCCATGGGCAGGTCCAAGCGCTCCTCCGTCAGTGCTCGCTCCAAACTTGTCGTCGTCGTGTTGCCCCTAACAATAGCAATGGCTAGACCCACCATCTTGCGGATCTGATGCAGCATGAAGCTCTGACCCTTCACTTTAAGGGTTACGAACTCAATGCCTTGGGGACTCTGGAATGGCTCGCTGCTTGTAAAGGACATGATGAACCGCTTGGACGAGGGATCCAGAAAACTTCTGCAAGGGCAGGCAATCAAAGGTAATTAAAACCAGTAAAGGACAAAATTCTGATTAGTTTACTTTTTGCTAGTGAAGTTGTGAAAGTTCTTCGTGCCCTCGTAGAGTTTCAGGGTCTCTTTGACTTTCTCTAGCAGTTCTGGTGAAATGCGAAAGGTGTCGTGCAAATCCTCGACCTTTTCTTCGTGGGGAGCAAAGGCCATTGTGGGTAGTGTGTAGGTGTAGGTCCGGGCATTGCACTGATCCTTGGCATTGAAGCCCTTGGTCACGCGCTCCACACCAAACAGGCGAATCTGCTCGGGCAAATCAGCGTTGAAGGCCTCCAGATCCAGCTCCTCAGCTAAATATATAATTTTTGATGAATATTTTTAAACATGATAAGCTGGTTAGGGTATCATGGGTTCAGACCCTCACAATAAGCATGGTTTTAAGCTATGTTATATGCAAATTGAGAATAATTAAAGATACTCGTTTCGTAATTAGTTTAAATATGTTGTAAATCTAGCAATTGGACGTTCCAAACTGGAAAACTATTTTCAAAACTAAACCATAAAGCTGCCATCAATAAACAAAAACACTGAACCCATGAAACTCCTAGGAATGGACCTCCCAACTCACGCAGCTTAACGGAGCACACCTGGCGGGCGGCTGAGACGCCTTTGTCTGTTCGGGCAGCCCGCTGGAAGCTTGCGATCTGCACCTGCTCGAAACTGTCCTCCGTGATCCACTTGTGCTTGAGCATGGCTTTGAACAGCTCCTCCTCGATGGTCTGCATGCCGGGATTGCGTTGCATCCCGTAGTAGTTGGCCCCAGAGTAGCTGAGCAGGATTGCACTCTTCTTCCGCTTGATCCGCTCGGCGGGATCGAAGGGCTCCCGCTTCACTCCGCTGGCCGCATCCTGCTCGTCCTGCTCCTTCCAGTCCACCCACTTTTTGCGCTTCAGTGTCCGCTTGATGCGATTGGCATCCTTTACGGCCTCGTTTTCTGAGCTTTTGGCCTCCTTCCTGGCTTCATTCTCCAGCTCCAGTTTATCCAGAGCCTCTGACATGGCCGCAGCAAAGGATTTGTGCCGATTCCAGGGAGTACTTATGGTTTTCAGGCGTACTGTTGGGAATGAAATATGTAATTAGCTTTGGTTTGGAGGCTATAGCGATAATAATTAACCTGCCTTGGTGTAGCTGTTTAATAATCGGCTTAAAAACATTAAATAAACAAATCACAAAATCGATGCAGTGGAATTCCCACACGTGTGTTGACTGTTCTTCTTCTTCTACTTCTGTTAGAGCTCAGCTGTTTAAGGGAAAAACATTAATTTCCTTTTAAATGTTTTTTTTTGTAAACAAGTACTGACTATTAATTAATTTAAAATGCCGATTAACTAATTTATTAACCTTCTTTAATTAAAGTTATAACTATTAAATGTTGTGACGCAGTGCAACCGCATGTTATGGGCCAAAAATTAACAGTTTTTTATAACCTAACGTAACAGTAATGGATTAACAGAGTAGCTCACGTAAGACGTAAGTTAAGATTTTCAAGAGAAATTTTACTATAAAGCTCAAGCCCATTAAAGGAAGAGCTATAAAATAATAATTAAAAAGTAAAATATCAAAATTAAAACAAAATATAATGCCAAATTTAACAAATCATAGCAAAATGCAGCCGCGACCATGCCAGATCGCATCATTAGTGTGACCATACACGCTTACGTTGTTACGGCCGTATGTAACAGCCCCTACATTCCGACGCACTGGCAACGCCGACATGAATTAATTGAATCCAAAATGGCTGAACATTTTTTGTACAGAAGAAGCGTCCAACGAGAGCAAACGCCGTGAGACCGTGTGTTTTTGTAGCGAATTACGCCAATAAAACTAAACAAATCCACTTAGAAACGTCATTAAACAATTGCAGTGCGTGCTGGTGAAAATGCCGCAGCAAAGGGAAAAGAAAAGTGTCGGCCAGACGGGAAAATAGGGAAATTCGAGCGAGCGAACGTGTATATGTAAAACGAAAGTTGTGGCTGTCGCTCTGCACGAAAGAGAGAGAGCGAGAATATTTTTGCAAGCCGAGAAGTCGAAGGTGAAATGAAAATGCATTAGCATCTAAATGAAGATATGCCCCCAAAGACAAAACGATAAAAATTAGCAAAAACCTTTGATAAAAATCATAAATCGTGAATTGGCGTTGTTTTTGCTTTCCCACGCGCGTGTGTGTTGGTGCGCGCCCCTCTCTGTGTGTGTGTGTGTGTTTGTGAGAGTTTGAGCATAGGAATGGTAAAACCAAATCCAAAAAAACTTATTCCAAAACAATAACCTCGTCCAAATTGTAATCACAACACAATAATCATGCTGTTCCAAGGCGGCAGCTGTTGAGCAAACATTCGACCTCTTCATTCGGTTGCTATAATTAGCACTCTCCCATTTAAACCAACAAAGTCGACCGCGCACGCGGACAGGATATAGCCGACATGGATATGGATTTGGAGCAGCTGAAGAACGATTTCCTGCCACTGATCGCCGGTATCAAGCAGGAGCAACTGGACGCTGTGCCCACGGATGTCCTGCCACAGATGAGCATACCGAGCACGGCCAGCGGAGCACCCACCACCTCGTCCTCGAGCTCCTCCTCTTTGAGCCTCAGCAATCCCTGCGACAGCGCCGAAAAGCGGGTAAGAGTCACATCAATACAATACATTCTTACTAAAATGGTGTAAATACCGGAAACTTATATAACCACATATGTGGTTCCAAAACATATTAAAAACACAACTGACAAATCAAATTGTGTAAAAGTGAATTAACCTTAACTTGTGTTAATTGAGGCCCCCTAATCACACGTGTTTTCACTGCTGATAACAACCGGCTGTATAATTATCCCTTCGTTCACTCGGTAAACTTTTGTTTTGGTTTGATGGGTTGTGTGCTGCGTTCCTTATCAAGAGCATTTCGAGTCTCGTGCAAAAAGCATTTGTTATCTTTTTCCCAGGCCAAAGCAAACAAACGCAGCCACGCACACAAGTAAGGCAGGCAGACAAACAAACTGCAGGCAAATGTAAGTGTGTTTCACTTTCGCGGCCCAGTCTCAGTTTTTACACAGAAAAAAAAGGAGATTATTCATACTCTTAAACCATAATTCTTTTTGTGCGGAGTAAGGAAAATTGAATATTTATTTTATTATAATAAATTTATTGAGCAAGAATGGAATTTGATCCAAAAACAGAATACAAAAATTAATAAGTTATGATATATAATAATATATATATATTATACAACATAATTTTTCATCAAAACTTAAATCTATTTTTTTACTATTAAGGCTTAAAGGAATTTACAAATTGTTGGGTAGCTATAAAATGTAAGTAGGTTTCTATATGTTTCATGTAGGAGCCACTTTTTTTTCAGTGTACTTGTGACTTGAAATCTCGTGCTGATGGTCTCCGGTTCCCCGTGTGCAAACAGATCAGCAAGCTTGATCTGGACTGTCGTTCGCCCGCTCCCATTTTCTGTACGAACTGTTCGGAGATTCTCTTTCCCGAAGAGCAACTCCACTTCCCAAAGCTCTCAGCTGAGTTCCATTTGGGATCAGCTGCAGTTGCCACTCTTCAGATGAGCGAGAGTGTCTGCTTTTGTTGTTTGCGCTCCGTCGCGCCTGAGCTGCTCTTTAGCTACAGTAGAACCTAACCAAAAGAAAATGTTTGACTAAACAACTAGTGGCTGATTAAAAATATATAAAATAACAATAAAACTTGTTACACTTTTACAAAATAGACATTGAAATTCAATATATATTTGAATATACAATTTTATATTGAATAATTATATATTTTGATATTGAGATTGAGATTGTATCAGTTAAAGTGGGTTCCTTGTATTCAATATTTACTGTTAAGTCGAAAAATAAATATAATTTTTGGACCTACATACATAAAATAAGTAGCCTAATTACAAATTAAATTGGGCAAATTCAAATATTTTTTTTAAATGAATTGTATACGACTATACTATAGAGATTTGAAACTAACAACCATAATTATACTTAACCTATTTTGTAACTATGTAACTTGAATGAATGTGATAATTAGCTACATTATCTTCCGTGCTAAATTAATCTGAAACAAGTTTACAGTAAATTAGAAGTCGCTCGAGCTCAAATTTTCTAAGTTGCATGTGATGCTTTCAATTGTGGAAGTCTGACTGTATTCAAGACTCAAGCTTTACCATTCCGGCGGCCCGTGCAAATAAATGTTGCCTTGAGTACATTTTTTCCTTTTGGAGTGTCCACTCTCTCTCGCACACAAACAAATGCTGGGAATGACATGCACTCATTCAATCCGTCCGTCAATCATGCAGGCGATTGTGTTTGCTGCGGTCGGTGGGGGCACTTAAGGCCCCAGACTCCGGGACCCAGACCCATACCCATGCCCAGATCGCCCTCGAGTAGTCCCGACCTTAGCCCTACAGCTAAATCCCCTCCATATCACTTAATGCCCATTTCTGATGTGAGCAAAATGTTTGTGTAACCTTTTAAGTGGAATGTACTCCTTCAGGGTGTTGAGATCAGAAATGACTGAAGATGAGAAATTATTGGGTTCAATTTTAGATTCAAATTAATACTTTAAATATAACTGGGATATGATAAATTTTCTTAGACAAATTTATCTGAATAGCAAAGGTTTCAGCTTTCTACTTAGCCAATAATATTAAAATATATGTTAAAACTTTAGGATTTAGTTATAATTAACCAATAAACATTAAAGTCTAATATATCATTTCAAATGAAAAAATATTCTATGTAGCGTAATATGATGCTTTCACTAGTTTTAATTGATAATTTTTTTGAAAGCATTATTTATTGTTCGTTTTTTAATTACTTAACGCAACACCTAAAAAACTATCTATACATACTGATAGGCTTTTTATAAAATAAAGTTATGGACACAATAACACGAATAGCTAAACAAAGAGAAACGCGAAATAAAAGCTTAGCCCTGCATCAAAGGTATTACTTAGCAAGAAACATTTTGTGTTATATCTTAATATACAGAATAGTCGTACTCCTCAAGGAAACTGAAAAGCTTTGTATTATTATTGGTTAAAATGTGTTTATTGAAAGCACTTCGAAGGTATTTTGGTTTAAAATTATTATACCTAGGGGCTGCTTTTGTTGTAGATTATTTGAGCTTCCCAATACTGTACACCATTCAAAATCACTGGAGCTTAAACGAAAAGAGAAACCTATTAATCTTTCAGTCCTGTCAAAATGGCGGGTTTAAGTCATTAAAAGTGACAGCTGACGAGGAAGTGCCCGTTGGCGAGCATCCATATGTCATCTCCAAAACGCTGCACCTGAATGCACTTTTCCAACCCTCGACGAGGCCATATTTAATACTCCCATAAATATATACGTTCGTTAGTACGTACTTTGCTTATTGCCACATGCATGCGACAGGTTATAATTAAATTGCTTGACACCGTAATAAATGGAAACCCAAAATCATACGACGCCATTTTGTTAGATACCGACGAATGCCGAAACGAATTCTCAGAATTTGCCTTTAATGACGTACAATTAACTCTAATTTGATGAGAATATGCAAGCAAAGCAAAACGAGGAGAAGGCAAAGTGCCGATGGCCAGTCGGTGCTAGGAAGCCCCAACCCTTCCAAATAAAAGTCGTTGGGTTCACAAAAAAAGTAAAGTTTCTAATTAACTTGATTACCTGGCAATCGGGCCGGATAGATCTTGGAAAATGCTTTTCTTTTCACTTTTTACCATCTACCTGCTGACACTGCCACCATCTCATTCACAGGCACCATTCACCTATCATCCTCGGACCGTTTCCGTGCTATTTTCTTTCTGTCTTTTATCGCACATACAGTTAAGCATCTACTTTTTAATTCGAGACTACTGGCAATTAGGTAGTATCAAAAGTCATGCCATTAGAAATCAAATTCCAGATTTTGTAAATATTTGTAAGATTTGGTAGGTTGGATCTAATAATTAAAGATTTTTTGTGTTGCGCAAATGTCGCTAATTAAGACACCCTATAAAGTCCTTCAAAGTCTGGACTACAACAGTGTTGCTTACATTAGTTAACTTTTAAGTAAATCAATATAACTAATCTATACGTATATTTTGATAGTAATCAAATCGATTTCGCCTGCACCTGCTTCTTTCCCAATATTATAAAGTTTTTGTCATTATTATAGTACCATCTGCTAGTCTACACGATTGCAATTATTGTGTAACTTTAATTTTATATAATTGCTTGATAAAATAATTGATGTCTGAGAAAATGCCTGATAATTTAAAACAGAAAATTAAAAATGGTTTCATCTGTAGAAGTTGGACTGTATATCCAAGAGATACACATTTTAATTGCTTTTCCCGGGCAGTCAGTGGGCGTAAGACCGCCCTAATCCATCCATCGACGTCCAGTGCGTAATTAAAGTTGACTGCGACTGCGGGATCAGTGCGGATGGATGAATGGAGGATGGGGGTGTGGGTGCGGGCGGTGTTCATTGGCAACATGTGTACGCTGGTCGCACTCCTGTGCGGGGATTAGGTGCTACACAGGACATAATCCGATCACAAAAAGAGGATTATAACGTACAACAATAAAAATTGTGCAGTCGAGCTACGGTGGCAAAGCAAACCAAATTGACGTTACTTTAAAGTGGAGCGTTTGTCAGTGGAGGGGAATAGCAGATAGCATACGGGAGATTCGTCTCTGGCAAAGTTTTATAAGCTGCATTAGTCCTGAGAAACGAGACGGTCTGATTGCCTATTCTACGGCTCCTAGGCACAGGCAGACGTAAGAAGGTTTTTGAGCTGCGTCAGCTTGTTCAGCTGCCTTGGCCCGCCCACGGATACGCCCACGCCTACGCCCTAGCCCCATATCGGCCATATTATGGCAATTCCTGCAACTGCCGTCACGATTTTCGGGCCCCCTGCTGACTGGGAAGTCTTACCGGTTTGTGTATCTACATCTGCAGGGAGTCGCCATTTTGGAAAACACTCGTACTTCGTGCACACTCCATTCATTCCATATATATGTATATGGTATTTACGTGTCTGCTGATGCCATGGCCTCCGGGAGCAGGAACAATTGCATCGGGCACAAAAAGAACCGCAAACCGCAGCAGCAGCAGCAACGGCGGCTGTGACGGCTTTGGTAAGCTCCTAGAGACCGAGGGCCACCAGCTCGTCGGACCAACGCAACCACAACGCCCTGCCCTGGCCACCACCGACCGTCAACCGTCGTCTGCAGCAGCCCTGGGGTCCAAAATCCGGGGACCAGCCGACAGCTCAGTCCGTTCATTAGTTTGCGGTTTCCTGGTTTCGTTTCAGTTGGCTCCACGTCTTTGGTCTTCGGTCCCCACTGAGGGATTTTCAATTTTGAATTTATGCTCACAACATGATTGGGAATGATAATTATTATACATACCTTCCCAACTGAAAAAAGCGGAGTGCCTCCAACCCAAACATCCCCAAGAGAACATTTTAAAACCGCAAACCCCATTTATAAAGCATTTTTAGTTCTACAATCCTCTAAAGAGAATAACTCTTGCCAAGAAAACTGGTTTGATAGCGTATTCGGAAATTACATCTGTGTGGTAACAAAAAATGGTCATTTAATAATTAAGACTTGCAAATTTTAATTATTGTC